TCGTAACATTCCGATGAAGCTGTGATTTTTAAAAATTCAAACAGATTTTTTGTAATCTGAATTTATTGGTGTGTATGTGTATAAAAGTGTGTTTGTATGTGTGTGTGTGTGTGGGTGGGTGTGAATTTTTGCACTCTTGATGTTATAGAGTATCACCCCTTTACTGCAGTGTACTTTTTTTTTGAATCGTGGCCGATTTGTAGATTGTACAGACAAAAATTCAGAGAATTTTTGTGTTTTTGTAAATTTCCCATTCATTTCCTATGGGTCGGTCATTTTTGACCGAAGACCACAAGTGTGACTTTTTTTTTTTACGACCACTTAGCATGCTCGGATCATGACCTCAATTTTTTTTTTAATCACATACCTAATGCCATAAAAGTCACCAAGTTTCATAACATTCCGATGAAGCTGTGATTTTTAGAAATTCAAAACAGAAAATTTTCCGGTCATAAATGACCGAAGACCGTCTGAGGGTTAAAGAGACGGGAACTAAAACAGCGGTTTCAGGCGGAAGGTAAAAAAGGAGTGACAGGGAGTCCGTGGAAAAGTCAAGAAAATTAAATAATTAGGATGATAATAAAAAATGTGATTAAAATATAAAATGGTTTATATATTTATTAATATAAATAAATAAATAATAAATGTAACAACACATTACTGAGTAGAAAAGCAAATAATGTAACTTTAGACAAACAGAAACTAATTTTAGATTTATAATATTTTTTTTCAGTGTATAAATCTGGTGTTTATTAAAGACAGGGGCCTTTTAAATTTTGGGATGGGGGGTCTGTGGCATCTAAAAGATTGAAAAACCCTATATTAGCAGATCCTAAAATAAAACTATAAACTTGTAAATGATCATAATATGGGCAGTTGGGCACTATTATATAATACGGCTGCCAGCGGACGTGCAAAAGCATCACGGTTGAAAGCAGATGAATTTTCCTGACAGAGCCAAAGGGAAGGCGGCGTCCCACAGGCCCCAGGCCTAATCCCTCAGAGAAAAGCCCTGCATTTAGGCCCTGGTACACTTAATCCCGGGCCCCTGTTCACAATACACTCCAGATCTTCCTCTGGCCACTGCGCTTCCGCTCAGGGCCCGTCCGGGTGCCATGAAAAACACAAAGAGAAAGAGAGGTTAGGAAACTGCGACATATGGATGGTTTCAACGAATCAAACTTGAGCAGTGATTCACGTAAAGCTTCCATGCGATCATCACTGTTGATTGAGCGATATAAAGAATATCTGAGAATATCCGGCTGCCAAACTAAACTAGATGCTTCCAAAAGAACAAGTCAAAAGCACAAAAATCAAAAATAAAACCACAAAATTAGAAAGTGGACCCCTCCTGCCAGGATACAGCCCTCATACGAGTCCAGAGAAGAAACACTCATACTCTTTCTTGTGTCCGTGCCAGCACAAACATGTATAAAGCGCACGTACGTATCACAAACACACACACTGGTGGGCATTGTGAGTGTTTAGATGGAGCCCCCGTGGCGAGAGGAAAACAAGCTTCTCTGAATGGACAGATAAAGGAGCCCAGAGGAGAGATAATGTGTACAGGGGACGTGCCTGTGTGCCACGTTTATTCTGATGCACCAAAAGCCCAAATATTTCAAATCCATGATTCAACCCAGATCTGAGATTTGATTAGATGGGAAGAACAAAATAAATGGTACCACAGTGACAGAAGGTAATACTATGGTACTCGCCAAGTCTGCATTTATTCGATCAAAAATACAGTAAAAATTGTGGAATATTATTACAATTCAAAATATCTTTTTTTCTAAGTGAATATATTGTAAAATGTCATTTATTCCTGTGATCAAAGCCGTATTTTCAGCATCATTACTCCAGTCTTCAGTGTCACATGAGCCTTCAGAAATCATTATAATATGCTGATTTGCTGCTCAAGAAACATTTCTGATTAACAGTTTTGCTGCTTTATATTTTTGTGTCAATTTTGATTAAAAAAGATTCTGGGATTCTTTGATTAAAAGAACAGCATATCTTTGAAAAATAAATCGTTTGTAACATTATAAATGTATTTACAGTCACTTTTTATCAATTTAATGCACCTTCGTTACATACAATTAATAAAATAAATAAATAATAAGACCTTTTAAACAGTAGTTCACTAGTGCTGTTTGAGTGCTACATTTATGTCCCCTAGACTAGTATTTTAATAGAAATGCAAAGAATATCATGGTATTAGCATCATAATATAGTTTTTATGTTTAATACGGTATAAAACTTTAATCAAGACCGTTCAAATAACAGAAAGCTAACCTCACCATGCTCAACTCATCTAAATAATCTGATTCGCTGAACCCAATGGCAGTGGATTGAGTGGGATGACGGCAGAATCATTACCAGAGGTTACATTACATCCTCTCATCTCATTCCATGTTTACCGTTTTCCTTTTCTCCGCTTCCCTTTGGTTCATGTGGCCTATCCGTGCGGAAACCCGGCGGTTAATTCCATGAAACTTGAAGAGAGTCTAAGAGCAGAGAAAAATCTTCACCAGCGCCACAAAGCAACCAGTGTTTCTGTCCTGTGGTCGCCACTCGATGGTACTAAACTCAAGTGCATTTCTTCAAATTAAACTGTGCGCTATGAGCTCAGTAGAGGGGATTTACCAAAGTTCGTGTGTTTGAACATGCTTTAAACAATATCAGAGTTTACTTCCACTGAAATAAGCTAGATTAAGCGGAATGCAGCATCAGAGTGGATTACAGTGGATGGAAACGATCTCGGATGTGTCCCAAAACCTGAAAAATGATACCTTTGCAAGTAGTATACAGAGGAATGAAGGCACGTCTGAATCCAATGTCTGCATAAGATCCTTTCTACTCGTATGACTTCATGTGGTTAGATGGCAGCATAGATATATCCTTCACCATCTTCAATATCCCACAATCCTGCAGAAACAAAGGCTTCTAAAGGAGCAAATGCAATAAGTCCATTTTAGCTGGTAGTAAAAATCTTAACGAATTGAAATTGAAACATTAAATGGTAACCAGTAAATGAGATAATGTGAGGCTGATCGGATTTAATGAGGATGCTAAAGCAGGACTCGATGATTTAGGACTAACTAAATAGTTTTGTCTGTCATCTCAAATAGCTTGTGGCTCACAGCCCTCTTAAACATACTGTATCATAGCCAAATCTTCTATAATGGTAAAGTGATGCCTGGTGTTTTTTCCAGTCCTGGCTCCAGAGTCCACATACACAGCACAGAGACACTAACACAGTGTGGCAGCGCCAACAGAGAACCGGGAGACTAGAAGAGAAAGATAAAACACAGTTACAAAGGCATGTAGACGACACACACCCACAGACGGCACGGTCCCAAAACATCCCACGTACACGGGTGTACAGGATAGTCTACCTCATGTTTACGGCTGAAGACTTAGCACTAGATTCCACAACGTTCTCCAGGTTAATGGCAACAAATCTTTTAATGACACTTTGTTGGTGAAAATGAACTAAATATTGACCTGTAGAACTAAACTACTGTTCAAACGTATGGGGTGAGGAAATTAATACTTTTATTCAGCAGGGACACATTAAATTGATCAAAAAGTCATTTAAATCATTTCATTTCATTGGCAGTAAAGTCATTTTAAAATGTTACAAAAGATTTCCATTTCAAATAAATCCTTTTCTTTTGAACTGTCCATTCATCAAAGAATACTGTTTTCAACATTGATAATAATCAGAAATGTTTCTTGAGCAGCAAATCATTATATTAGAGTGATTTCTGAAGGATCATGTGACACTGAAGACTGGAGTAATAATGCTGAACATTCAGCTTTGATCACAGGAATAAATGACATTGTAAAATATTTTTAAATAGAAAATTATTTTTACAATTTTTAACGGTTTACTTTTTTGATTAAATAAATGGAGCCTTGGCGAGCAAGAGACCATAACAATCGGTAAAAATTAACAATACTTTCACATTTTCTTTTTTTTTTGGATTAACAGAAATTCACAACACTCATGTAAATACACCGCTGGGCATTTAGTTATTTTTTCGCACACCAACCTATTATGGCAGCGTAAACTGATAAACCCGGCTTTAAAAAACGCATGTAAAATAAATAACAACGTGTGATTGGTCACTTTACATGTCAGTCAAACGATCTATTCCTGAGTAAGTGGGCCGTTCTTGGACAAAAAACGTTTGACTATCGACTAAGAGTTATTCACGTGTCTATCCAAAGACAGAATGAATTGCATTAGATGTCAGGTGACTCCTGCTGAAGTCTCGTGGTTCATTTAGCATGTTTCCTCGATCTACAGCTGGCTCTCGCTTCTGGTTCAACACCAAGGCCAGTTCTGCCGACAAAACACACCGTCCCCGGCCAGACGCGCGTGAGTCAGCTCTGCATCAGCATTCACACGTTAGTCTTTAGATCTGACTGAAGCACAGGAACGAGGACTGGAGTTTGGCCCAGAGAATGTCACCTACAGCTGCAGAGACGACGTTTTAGCGCCTTAAATACAAAAAAATGGTGTTTTGAGTCCCACAAATTTCAACAAATCGAGACCAAACCAGTTGTTATATCATTTTTTTTATTTTACTTGAAACAAAACAATAATATTAAAAGTTATTACTTCAACTGAAAGACAAAGTGAGAAAAGAAAGATCTGTTCCACAGGAAAATGAATGGATTCAACTATCCAGCAAAGCCAATAACAAGTCGTGTGCTGTATAACTTACAGTGTGTCATAGCACCTGCTTTGAATGGTATTAGTTTCTTTAGAAGAATATAAATATCTGGAACATTAAACACTTTGGGAAAGCAGTGATTATGTCACAAAAGGCCAAACGTTTCAGGGCATCCGCAGTCTAGAAATACCATCCAGACATGACATATATTCAGAACTAGGGTCGCACATCATTTCTTGTAATATATAGCTAGTTAAGATGTGATTGGTGAGTTGTAAATGAGTAATACTCTGGGATACACCGTGAGACAACATGTGTGCCTGGTCGTTGCGTGGTGCAAGTGGGATTATTGCAAAGCGCTGCTGGCGAGATAATATAAAAGTAGAGTTCAAAGCGATTACGAAAGACAGGGTGAGTGAAGCAATCCACTGCAGTACAAAAAAAGAAAGCAAACAGTACACACAGATGGGGAAAATACTTCTGGAGGAGGAAAATGACAAAAACAAAGAAAAGCAGACAAATATACAATCAAGGAGACAATAAACAGACAAGCCTACAAACACTTACATGTTTTGAAAGACAGACAGATGTTTGTAAGGTATAAAGGGGCTCTAAGCTCTGTAAAGCAGAATTCTCTCTGCACACGACTGGCCCACCAGACTAGCGTATTGCTCCACTTCTTTCTCGTCGTTCGAACCCTTCCGCTTACGGGCGTAGGCCGCATAGGGCATCACTGTCCTCCTGTGGAGCACTAACGCCCGGCCCAGATCCTTCAGCGCAAGAGCATCACCTAAAGAAGGACACAGAAAGAGGAGAAGTTAGCCAAATCCTGAGAAATTAAAGTGCTGCAGGATCATTACAAATTGGCAACTACCCGAAACACCCTTACAACCATGTAGCATCACACAGGTAAGCAACCGCATCACCTTAAAGGGGTGGTAAAATGCACTTTTCACAAGATGTAAAATAAGTCTTTGTGTGTGTGAAGTTTTAGCTCAAAATACCCCACAGATATTTTTATATAGCATGTTAAAGTTGTCACTTTTTGAGGGTGAGCAAAAAAACGGACCGTTTTTGTCTGCCCCTTTAAATGCAAATGAGCTGCTGCTCCCGGCACAGGGGCCGGAGCTTCAAGAGCTCGTGTCCTTTTACCTCACACACACACGCACTGAAAAATGTTCAAACCGAAGTCAGAAAGATGGAGAGACTCAAGAAGAAGTGACAACATGTAGACAACATTTCTGAATGGTTAGTTGGTGAATTTATGTAGCTTTTGTGTAGTTATCTTCTAGTCATTGATTAGCATATTCTGTCTTGATAATCCATAAATCGTGTTCCGGGGGCGGGGTTTATGTAAATTTTAGGGTTGGTGATGTCACTAACCCAGGAAGAAGCTCGTGTAGTCCCTACCAGCAGTTTGTTGTAGTCCTTAAAAAGCGATTTCTTTAAAAGCAAATATCTCCCTTTGCTTTGAACTTTGAGCGTCGTAACTTTGCAGATGTAGTTTATGCTCAAACAGCAACATTACACACTAACTAAAGTTAGAAAAGTGAAATCATATTCAACCACCCCTTCAACTTTTGAACAGGCAAACACCATGCACATTTTCACTTTTGCCTAAAAATATTGGCTAGGTAAGCAGCTCACCAAGACACAAAGCTACTTCAATTTTACATTCATGACTGAAACAACGTGAAGTTAAGTCACTGGGTGGAGGATGCACATCAGTGCACAAGGTCTTAACTCACCCTCAAAGGTTCAAATGAGGGTCAGGTGCAGATTCCAACTAACAATTACCCAGGTATGATGATGAAAAAGGATCTCTCCACCCTTAGGCAACAACACCAGGTCAGCCAGGGTTACTACAGCTTGACCTCAATCGTCACAAACATAGAAGCAGAATCGTTCCAGAACCAGCGGCTCAGCACAGAAGAGCAGCCAGAGACGTCTAACAATGACTCCTTCAGTGAAGGAACAGCTTGGTCGGTTCTCATTTGTTTATAGGACTTCAATCCACTCCGGCAAGCCAAAATTCAGACACACATTGCGTATTCAGTCAAGAAGCCAACACCTTCCCCCATGAGCTGTTAAAACAAGAATTGCTGCAAAAAAAGAATGCAGTCATTTGTAGAAGCCTGAAAATGGCCCTCCAAGGCAGCGGGAGGTTAAAAAGGGGAGAATAAACTTTCTAGGCCAGGCTGGCTAACCCAATTGAAGAATTACAACGTCAACTCAACGTCATTTTTAACTGAAAAAGCAAAGTTTTGAATGTGGCAATCATAGATACAAAGAATTTAGATATACAAATATATACAATACTCATATTAAAGGAGCTGTATGTAAGATTGTGGCCAAAACTGGTACTGCAATCACTTTCAAATTACTGTAGAGCGGTGTATCCCCTCCCCCTCCTCCCTGACTCAAGGTTGCCAGATAGGCTGCAGGATCCAGCAGGAACGTAGTCTGCTCCAAGAAGTGGTAACTAGAGCAGAGCTGGCAACCCGGATCTCGCAACACTACTGACTTCGTGATTGGTAGATAGGTGGAGGGTGGAGCATCAGACCAAAACACAACATGACAACATCAACATCAGTTTTAAATGACAATATCCTGGCCGGACTACTGTTGTCAGTGATATAAGTATTTGAAATGAACATGATTTCTTAATGTCTAGTGACATATCAGGGCCATTTTATGATTAATTGAAATAAATTTCTTACATACAGCTCCTTTAATTATGAATGAGAGAAAGTGCAACGCACAATATGGTGGAGTAAGCCCCGCCTTCTAAATTAAAGAGCCAATCGGCGATTGATAAAGTCATCGCGTCACTGCACAGCTGGTGTTAGAAGCTCCGCTGGTGCGCATTAGCTGGTCTAGCCTGAAAAATACGCTTTTTTTAATGCCACGTGAGCATAAGAAACAAAATTCATGACACAGTTATTGTCAGACTTCATTGGTGAATTCAATATGAAATTTAATAATAGGTTTGGTGAACAGCTTTGGAGAATTTTGTGTTTCCCCCATGTGTATATCTCTGGTAGTGCCATATATTTATATAAAGGCAGAAAGTGCTGAGAAAATAACAGAATATTGCAAATGTGCTTTGCCATAACAAAAAGTGACATAAATATACAAACTATAGGCCACTAGCCTTAAACAGAGCTGGAGAAACAGAAGAGAAAATAAACACAGGGATATGCAAAACTCCAGGCCAACAGTGACAGATGAGTAACAATATATTGCTCCAGCGATTCTTTTAGTGAAAGTTATGATTGTTATTAACAGATCTGACACCAGCTCATGGCTCTCGCTGAAGCGCCTCATCTGGAAGCCAGCTGACAGAGATTTCATGGGGGATGCTGGGTAATGTAAATTAGTCCTCATCATTTCACACACATAGGGGGTTTAATTTACACCGTTTCCCTGTAATATATCCAGTAGAACCCATCCGCCACACAGGCACTGTTCAAACTTGGCTCGAGTTTTGTGGGAGATTGAGGGGTATGAGAAAAGAGAAGTGAAAGAGAAATGAAATATAAAACTACAGTGCCCACACTGTTCTCTCATGCTGATAAAAAAAGAGAGAGAGAACGCTGATGAAAGACCTGCATATGTTGTGTTATTGATGCTGGTGTTCTTCCAGATCATTTGTCCAGCACCAGAGCACCACTAACCAACACAAACCAGCCTGAAAATAGTCAATTCCACCCTTGGCAAAGATCTTTTTTTAAGCAGTGAAGTTGGAGAAAGAAATCAAATAAAACGAGATGGATTAGAAGCACTCTGTACTTTTGGTGTACAATGGTCCCAGAAAGTATTTGAACACTTAAAAAACACCTAAAAAAAAAATCGAAATTCCTTTATATATATGTAATCTGCAAACAAAACATGTCTCAATCACAAAGAGTCAGAATATTTGAACAGTACATCTATTGTTTCATTGAAAAACCGTTGTGCATCTTTCTTTCAAATAAATGAAATAATATATAATATTTTGTTGTCTGATGCAATGAAATTCAGACCTTTTTAAATGTCAAAAATACATGTTGAGGTCTCTGTAGCTGAATAGGACTTACAAATCTATGAATATCTATGTGTTCTGTATCTTTGTCCAGATCCTGGTCTGTAATGGAGAAAGATGCTAGCTACTCCAGACTGTAAGACGATAGATGTGTGCAGACAGATAAAGCAGGATAAATCGAGTGCAAGGAAGACAGACAGCAAAAGAGTGAGCAAGAGAAAAAAAAATGGAGAGAGGAAAAAGAGAGTTAGCTGGCAGTCTATCATACTACATCCAATAAATTATGATAAATGAAGAGTAGACGAGACCCGTGAACAGCAAGTTCTGGACGTTCTCTCATAACCGTATGAAGTCCCTGCCTACACCCCCAAACCAAACACTGAGAGCTTTATTATTTCCACTCAAAAAGAAGAAAAAACATTCCCTGGAAAACCCCTTCAGGCGCTCAATACTCGGTTTCTGTCCCAGTAAGGTACTGCAACTACCCTGTTAGAGGAAAATGAAAGCTTACTTTATACTTTAATACTGCATATCTTTTTTTATTCATACACTGGCACTTTTCTTTTTTTGCTTGCAAACTGTAGTTGCTTGAATAAAATAAAATAAGCATTTAAGTTTAAAATTCAAGTGCAAGTCAAAATTCGAAATCAGCACAAATGTGATACCTTGAACACAGAACTAAGGGCTGTGGTCCTCCGGGGTAAACAGGTTGCGTAATACATTAGCATTTTAAAGAGACAACCCAAGTGAATGTGTCTAAAATGCGGTAGAGTGTATGCTCAGCATGGTATTATGCAACTCAAGTGGGCATATTTTACACAGGAAAAAAAATGCAGAGGTACCCAGTGGGTGAGGTCATCTATACTAAATGGGGCCTAGTGTAACCCCTCAGGTCCTACTCGACCCCGGGTCGCTGGCACAGGAGGCGGGCGCGCTAATAAAGATGGCAGTCGCTAGTGCGCCTCTTGAGATCAGGGGAGTGAGGTTTACCTGCATAGCTCTCACTAGCTGGGCTCCGTTACACTAGCTATGAATCTATTAGGTAATGTAATATAATCCAGAGAACACAAATTTCTATATTGTTGTCTTCACTGGCTGCATACAAAAACAAACATACTGTACAGCACGACAAGAGTAGTCTGATTCATGAACAAATGACGGTAACACTTTACTTGAAGGGGTGTGCATAAGACTAACATGACACCTTCATAATCATGACATGACACATGTTATGAATATGAGGGAAGTTGTATGCATGTTTATGACAACTGTCATTAAGTGTCATTCGCTCAGTTATGACATTTTTAATGCAAATATGACATTGTTTGAAATGTCTTTGTTATGACACCTTGACATAAACAAATACATCATAACCTGTCAGTGTCTTTGTCATGACAACTGGACATTACTAAGACAACACAACCTGTCATAAACATGACCTAGCAGATTAATTATCAAACTTAAGAAACCACTTAGTTTTATTGGTTAACATTACATTAAACTGTCAGGTGGTTGGTTTTGACATTGGCTGTCATGAAGCCATTATAACTTTTTAATGACAAATTCAATTTGTACCACTGTAGTTGAGGTCACGAAAAATATTCATGACTCAGTTATAATGGCCTCATGACAGCCAATGTCAAAACCAACCACATGACAGTTTAATTTAATTTAATGTCAAGTTGTCATGACAAATACACTGACAGGTTATGATGTTATGGTTTATGTCAAGATGTCATAAAGATGTCCATTTTTTTTTCTCTTGC